GTCGAGTTAGAATTTTTTTAAAGTCAAAGTTATCTCACAAGAACAAATGATATAACCAAAGAACGCAATATGTCAATCTCATTCAACTCATTGACATATGTTCGCAGAAGTTGAATAACACAGATAAAATAGCAATAAAGAAAATTTGTTCGAGCCAAAATATCCAAGTAAAATATACAGAATTCAGATGTCGGTCAATTTGTTCATTCAAGGTAGAACGTTTTATAAAGGATAATTTAAATTGAGTTAATTGTCTTAGTTTAAATTCACTAATGAAGAAGGGACGATGTAATGATTAAAGAAAAATTGTGATAGGAATTTTGGGGAACTTTGAAGTAGAACGGAAAATTGAAAAAAGAGAATACGGCAGAAGAATTTGGAGAAAGGGGAATGGAGGAAGAGAAGTGGTGGGAATCGAAAGGAGAATTGAAAAGAAAAAATGAATTGAAAAAAGAAGATGAAATAAGAATTGAGAGGAGAAAGAGAGAAAAGAAAGAAAAAGAAGCGATAGAAAGTAGAATTAATCACCAGAAAGGTAAAGAGAACAAGTGAGAAATGAAAAAAGATTCAAGAAGTGATTTTCATTTTGTTCGTTGGTTGATTTTTTTTAGCGGCATATCAACCTGGGTTATTTAATGCCGAAATATTTAGTCAGTGCCTGATGATTTAACATAAATCTAGGGTTTTTTTTTAGTATCTAAATAAAGATTAACTATTAAAAAACTGAAGTGATATAACATATAAATTTTGAAAAACTTTAATAACATTTTATTTGATATGATTACTTTAGTTATATTTTACCTTTTCTTAAAAAGGGTGCGCGGATGGTGTAATGAAGAGCAACTCGGAATGAGAAATAGGATAGTCGAGTTCGAATTTTAGGCGAGGCCATTACATTCACTTAAACGTAAATACCCATCGGGAAAGGCATGAATCCATCCTGTCTACAAGCTATGGGTTAAGCAGTAAGACGTGCATTTAGAAAAACCATTGTTATTCTCAAACAATTGTTAATGCAATATTCGCTCGCAAAACATAAAAAGAATTTTTCTTACAATCCAAAACATATTTCCGCTTTAAATAACCCATAAAAAGTTGATAAACCGTAAAAAAACAAATCTATCAATCAATATTTTTGGAAAAAATGAATTGTAAGTTTTTAACACGTGGAGATTACCTCACCCTAGTTTTCCAAGACGACCGCTAGGCGGCGCTGTCCAAGATTATAAAAGAACTGCTCTCTCTCTGCCCCGGAAATATAGCATTGTCAACACGATCCTTTTTCCCGCTGGGGGTGGGGGGAATATAATTCCCCGGGCGACCGGCGACTCAATTTTCACACACACACACGCACACACACACTTTCTAATAGCAAGGCCTGTAATGTTTTTCTTACTCTTTTCAGCTATCTGTGTACACACTAAATATATTATATTTTATCTCTTTTACGAATCTTGTTATTCATTATATAAAAATTCCTCGACGTGTTGAAATGTATTTCTTCTGAAAATGTTGAATTCAGTTTCATTGAAAGTTCTCAACCACAACAACATTCTGTTACAAACCTGTAAAATTGCGCGTCTTCCTCTACAAACAGAATTATCTGTACTTTCTCATACTCAATCTATATAATTTAATTATATTCTAAGCGTAGCGTAGATGTGACATAAGGCCGTAAGTATGGGGCACCTAGTGAGGATCGAATTCACTTTTCAGTCGTAACTGATCTAACGAGATAAGCTTGCTAACCATTACACCACACCGAGATGCCCAGACGCAATCTATATATCAATTATCACATAATTCCGCTTACATTATACACTATAATATTTAATATAATTATTTATGTATGCCCCTCTTTTTTTTTTTATATAAAATTGAGATTTTAGTATTTCTAATTTCCATAAATCAAGGCGTCTGACGAACATAAATCATTTTCAACTTTCTTACCTCAGAAGAAATAGTGACTGAAAAATTTAATATGTAATTCTTAAAACCAGTTTGATATATGGCTTCGTATTATCCATATTTTTTTTGAAGGTTTCAATTATGTTTCGATTCACTTACAAATTTTATTGTATTTTATTCTATTTTATTTATTTGTGTTATAACAACATCAATAATGATGATTATGATGATGATTGTAAGCAGTTCCCGTCTCACGAGGAAATACTGGGATCAAGACGGATCCAGATGGCAGTTTGAATAAATAGGTTAAGTTTACGACGTCTTGTCTCGTCTTTGTGCTGCTTCGACTTTGCAATGGCCAGTCTCATATAACTTATCTTCCCACCTTAGGCACAGTGGAACAATTTCTTTTTTGAAGTTTGTGTACCCTTAACATTAGTCAAATATCTTAACTGAAACAGCAGTTCCTAATTTCCTCATTCTTTGTCAAACTTGAGCTATTAATATTAATATTATAATATAAATAGTTTAAGTTACATAAGAATAAGAGAATTGGGAACCTCTGTTTCAGTTAAAAAAAAAATGTTAGTCAGAATTAAATCATATTCTAATAAGAATGAATATCGCCGATTTTCAAGTTGAAATGAAGAACGGATTCCAAGTTTTGTGGAATAATGAAAATAACATGAATAGCATATTGAAAAATGTATCATGTTGTGACATCACCGCCATCCTCGCAAGTGAATATACCCTTGGGAAAGGTATGAATCCTGTTCTTCTCCCCCCCCCAGTTATGGATAAATAACAGGACATACTGGGTTCTATAGCCTTGAATAGCAACTGGTCTACCGCAGAAAAAAATGACAACCTGCAGGAAAAAATCTGCCTCGTCAGTCATGTATCTAAGTGTGTATCACGCATGGTACATAACTAGTATGCGCGGGAGATATGAAACGGGGAATTAGAGAGATACATCACGTGCGTACCTAGGAGCATTAATATACTTGTCTCCGTGTACCATCATGTACCCGTCTTCCACATGCTACAAAATGTAATTAAAGAAGCAGCAGAAATAACTGGGAAAAATAAGAGAAATACTCAGTCAACACTGGAACTGATGACAAAGAGGAAAAATATGGCCTTAAAAACTTAATGATCAAACTGAAAATGCAACATGAAACAATCAACAAAAGAAAAAAAATGAATATAGAAAAGGTAGAAGCTGCCAGAAAAAGAAAATACATTGGAACATGCTTGATCCACTGCCTACATAGATAAACAAGAAATGTTTAAATTGAAAGGTAAAAATGGAGAAGTTACCAAATATAGGTACAAGATGTTATGGACAAACGAAGAGTACTTTGCAAACCAATATGCCTCGAAAATATTAATATCAACAGCAATCTGGAAGGTACTAGTGACGTAGTAGAAGTACTAATGTTGAACGTAAAAAAAAACGGACAAAGTTGGCATGGTAACAGACCTTTTGAAAGATGTATGAGAAGAATTCCCAAAAGCATTAACATACCCAGTGTATAAGAAAAAGGAAGGTATATTCAGTTTATTTTATAAAAAATGGAGATAATAATTAACATCCTTTCATTCACTTTACTACTGAACATATATAAAGTATTTGCAATATCCTAAACGAAATTCAACCATGCAGACAGTTAGGTTATAAGAGTAGTAACAACAACAGGCCATCTAAAACAATATATCAATTGATCGAAAAACAATGTAACAAAACCACTTTGTTCGACTTTAGCTGACTATAAGATGGCATGTGATGCAGTAGAACACTATAAAAACAGGTATTAATATATATATATATATATATATATATATATAAAGGGATTTTCCCTCGTACAAAAAATATTATTTATCTCTCTAGGTAGACAATGAAAAAGGACTCTTAATGAGTATGAAACAGAAAGGATTTACAATAATTTATGTGAAAAGAAGAAAGGTTTAGGAAACATACTCAAAATATTCTTAATATTCGACTACACAAAGACACATAAAATAGCGATCTGAAAAGGAGTAAGACAAGGAGATACGATTATTTACAGCATGTCTTCAAAGTAGTTTCCGGAAAATAAGTGGGAAGGAATGTGCGTAAACATAAATTATATTTAAGATTTACTGATGACTTTTACTAATATCATAATAATCGATTCAATTACAAAAATACTAATTGACCTAAATAGGGAAAGTAAATGTTAGTTTAAAATTGAACAGAAATAAGATAAAACTAATGTTTACTTGTAGCTTTTAAAAACAATCATAACAACAGAGGATAAAGAACTGAAAGAAGTCCAGGAATAGATCTATTCCGAACGGATGATAACTTTGTTATAGGCGGGGGTAAATCACATGACATCTGATGACAGCTTCTGTTGATTAAATCACTCCCTTTCAGAGGTTGTTCAACAACTAGCCTTGCTCCGGGCATTGGTCAGGATTGTCCACCTTATATTCCAGCTTTTGCTATTTTTTTCTACCTTTTTCATAACAAACTCTTCTTCACCTACCCCATATCTCTTTCCCCGTCATCGCAGCAAATTTACCATCCACCATCTCACGTTCTTTTACACCCTGAAAAAAAAAAAAAAAAAAAAGCAGCCGTCGGTAGTTGAAGCCTAACGCCTGTTTTTTTTTTTTCTCAATAACAAACAAATCTTTTGGGGGCCCCATTCACGCCAGCGTCTCGGTTGGCATCCAACTGATGCCTATTCGCGGCAACAACGAGTACCCAAAGTCTATAAGCGGCAGCAACACTCGAGGTGTCAGCAGAGCAACAAGATTTGTCTCAACGACAAGACAATTCTACTTTTGACTGTTTTTGTAATTTGAAAGACATCGTCATAACGAGATCCAGAATAGCAATTAAATCACAGTGATATAAATATTGCCCAGAAATACCTAACCGTGTATTTAAAACAAAGACATTATAAACGCAAGATATTAAAAAAAACGACGCTTGTTGGAAACCCACAAGTAAGCAAAGAAGTAACGCAGCTAATTAGCCCATAAAAGTAAAAATACTCTTTTATTATAAGAACTGTAGAAATAACTCCATAATTAAACTGAAAATGAAGATTGTTATATGCTTACTTTTTCAAATTATTGTTTGTGTCTGGTCAACGAATAATACATCAGATGTGACCTTTGAAGAAGCAACAGTGATACGCAACTTGGACGGAATTGGTTTGGTCACAAGGATTACGGCACAGGGCTTTCAGTACGGTAATGTATTTTTTATTCTACCTATTTGTTTTTCTTTATTATTTCCATCTTGAAGCATAAGAAAAATTATAAAAATTAAAAATACTATAAATAATGATTTTCTTATCGAAAATCTTTTATCAAACAAATGTTAATGTAAATTTTGCCACATTTCATTTTCATGTGACCGAACTGGGTAATGTCTTGTCAATTTTCATTTGGAACGTCCAAATTATTTTTTATGTTTTTACATGTTGCAAGATATCTATGAAGTCACATATAAGTTAATAACATATGATAAAATTATTTATTTTTATGTCTTACTTTAAAATCGTTGAGTCCACCAGAATAATATTTATCTACAAAAATGAAAGTATTAATTTTCTTCGTGATTTTAAGGTACTGTCAATTTGAAGGATTTAAAAATAATCACTTAAGGATTTTTAGATTGTACATCAATCAAAGGGTCGCCGTCTTATTTACAAGAAAAATACGAAAATATAAAATCCTAAGTTGGAAATTAAAGTGACAGGGATTTATTCATTTTTTTTAATTAGAAGTTTAAAAATTGTCGAGTTAGAATTTTTTTAAAGTCAAAGTTATCTCACAAGAACAAATGATATAACCAAAGAACGCAATATGTCAATCTCATTCAACTCATTGACATATGTTCGCAGAAGTTGAATAACACAGATAAAATAGCAATAAAGAAAATTTGTTCGAGCCAAAATATCCAAGTAAAATATACAGAATTCAGATGTCGATCAATTTGTTCATTCAAGGTAGAACGTTTTATAAAGGATAATTTAAATCTCAGTGATATGTTTTTCGTTGTTTTTTTGTGTTTTTTTTTTAGTCATTTCACCCCAAACAAGGCAATAAAGACACTAAGACGCAAGGAATTAATGCAATAAGAATTTATGTACCTGGATCATTGTCTCTCATTAATTTAATAGTGAAGAGTCGGAAATATATATATTTAGCCCGGATCACTTGAAGATACGGAAAGGTTGAAAGCAAGGTAGCATGATCGTCTGATCTCCTAATTTTTCACACACACACACACACACACACACACACACACACACACACATACATATATATATATATATATATATATATATATATATATATATATATATATATATATATATATATATATGAACATTGAAGTCAAAACCAAGCGGCGACTGTCCGCTTATTACTTGAACGCAATCTTCAGGCGTTCAAGCATGAAACCGTCCATCCCCGCTCCGTATTGACCTCAGTGTCCACTTTTCTATCACTGATATTGAGCAATTTAACAATAAATATAGCATACCTTAAAAGTAAAACTATATTTTTATCATTATATATATATATATATATATATATATATATATATATATATATATATATATATATATATATATTTAATATTTAGTTAGTTCCTCTCGTTCTCTATGGAACATTGGGTTCCTTTTAATGCCACATCTAAACGAAAGCTGATCAAGAGTAGCAAAACTCGTATTCGTTCAAACGTGCTGTAGGATTTTTAGTGGGAATTTTATTCACAAGCGATCACCAAGCGCAATACATACGCGCGTGCGCGCACCCCTATATTTATATTGAAGAAATATTACAAATGGAAATCGGTTTCATTGAAACTAGATTTGATTACTCGTTTCGCCTTTCTAGGCTACATCAGATCATTAAACGAAAAGAAGAAATATGTGTGTGTCTATGTGTTTGTGCGTATGCTTAAATAATAAATCTTCTTTACACACGTATATTTCTTTCTTTCGTTTTTTGATCTGATGAAGCCTAGAACGGTTTTTTTACATTTGTCATATTTATTCAAAATTTGTCGGGATTCTGTATCCTATTTTACACACACAAACACACACACACACACACACACACACACACACACACACACATATATATATATATATATATATATATATATATATATATATTATATATATATATTTTCGTGTATTTCACGTTTCGAAATCATGTACCATTCCTGTCGTAACTAGTAAAAGGAGAAAAGTCTATTTTACGTTGCACCGTTAACATCTCGAATACAAAATAAAAACGAATGAGTATGTTCGTCTGCTTAATGGGAAAGCAATATTTAAGCAAAGAAAGAAAACATCTTACAGATGTACATCTAAATTTTAAAACAAAATTATTTCCAAGTCAGATCTGGATTGAATACAATTTCATAAAAGTCCCAGCAAAACAACAGAAAAAATTTGGACTGTGCTACCAAAATTCTTGATGTAAAACGGATCAGTCCCCCTTCTCTTTTACATATTCTATTACATGTTCAACTATTTTTATACAAATTGCATTTATTATAAATACTAGTGGAGTCACTCACTGGATTTATTTGATTTCCAGATAAAAAGAAAGGCTGATGTGTGTGTACAGTTTTTTTTTTTTTTTTTTTGAATTTATAACTGGAACAAAAAATCATCTGGGAAAATATCACCTTGTAATGCAAACCACGTAAAAAGAATTTTCTTAGATAATACTATATATATATATATATATATATATATATATATATATATATATATATATATATATATATATATATATATATATAAAAAAAAAATACTAAAGAACTTCAGATTATTTACACGTGTTCTTTCCTATTTTTCTATATATTTGCACACACACACACGCGCGTGCACACACACACACGCACACACACACAATTGGAACTCGGCAGGTATTCGTTTATCTCGGAAGATAAAAGGTAGCGCCTTTTTTGGTCAAGATTCAATCCTGGTGTTGAGACTGGAGGGACCTCTCAAGGACACAGGCCTGGGCAATGGTATATGTGCAGGCCGTACGCTGGCCAGATTACATGTTATTGGTAGAAGCCTATAATTAACACCATATTTTTATTTAAATTTTTATAATACCGGATTCAATGGTTAATGAGTGATCCCTTGATGTAACAGATTCAACCTTAAGCAACTGATTAAAATGGTTTAACATTTGATAAATGGTGGAATATAGTGCTGTCCTATCCAAGTGTGGCTTGCTTCAGTGTTCACATACAGTGGTTATTTCAGATTGATCTTATTTGCAGACACTTTTGTACCCAGAAAAAATTCAAATTACCACCCATTAAATGATAAATAAAACGGATTCAACATGTGAACTTGCAAAATACTTATACCAAATTTACAAATTAAGACAAAATGGACTGTGATGAAAGCATACATCAAGAAATCAATGCATTCTAAACTTCGATTCTGTTATGCCTTCAAACCTTTTGATAAATGGACAATGACGTGCATATGTTTGATGATGCTCGGTGCCAAGACTCAAGAGAGTGGGGTGCTATAGGGCCTAGTAGTGAGGAATGTGAGAAAAGAAGTCATTTTAAATATGTCAAAACAGATGAAACATGAAATAAACACTTTATTCAAATTAAATATAAACTAAATTTTTATTTCTCTCTTTGATATATAAATGCACCCCGGGCCCGTTGCACTCTCTACTCCCCAATTCTACACATTATTGTAACTGAATAATTTAATTCTTATTAATATCTATGAATTATTTCAATTTTGTGTATTTAGAAATCATTTTCTTTATTTATGCAGTTTTGGTTAAAGATCAACGAAAAGTCTTTGTTTAAGAAGATAGTTTATTTAATTTTTCTATGGTTCGGATCATTTTTATGATTTTCAGGAATAATTTGAGTGTAGTTAGCTATCATGTTGGATTTTTTTCTAGTATCGCGTCTTTTGTTGTCGTGTCACGTTGTTTGTTTTTTTAACCTGATTATTTATGCATATATTGATAGACAATGTTTAATCCTCGGGCCCGCAAAAAAAAAAAAAAAAAAAAAAAATTGTGTATCAAAAGGATGGCTATTCCCTTGACATCGCTATTGAATCATAAAAATTAAAAATACTATAAATAATGATTTTCTTATCGAATTGATGTGACGAGAGCAAATCAAAGAAATGCCCGGAAAATGTATTTTTTTTAAGATTATAATTACAGTTACTCATCGTCATACGTCTATTTCATTTTTTTTTTTGTTCACAGACATTTTTATAAATTTATGAATAAAAAAAATTAATTTCATATTTTTCTTGATAAAATGGTAAATAAATATTTCATTGTAGATGAGTCGCATATTTGCATAATCTTGTAAATATAAAATTATTCTTGTAAATAAGCAATCTAATAAATAAATAGTGTTTAATATCTTTGTTCTCAATTCTCAAGAATAAAGAAAATTTGTAAATGCACATTCATATGTTTGGGTTTTATTTAAATTCTAATCATCGCTTTTTAAAACAATAAATATTGCCGAGGGAGTCAAAAGTGTATACAGTAATAGCAGTGTCAAGGGAATAACCGTCCTTTTGATAAATTGTTTTTTTTTTAAGCAGAAATGTTAAACATTGCCTATTGATAAGATTTGTATGTTTTTATTAATTTAACTTTGTTATTACTGCGTTGTATATCAGGATTTCTTTAAAATTTGATTTGGAGCTTTATCGACCCAACACCTGCAATAGAATGTTGATCTTCACATCCATGTACGAACATTGTTCTGCCATTGGGTAACCTCCAGAAAATGATTTACATTATGCTCATATATTCCAGATAAAAACAACTTTCACGAAGATCATTCAGTTAACACTCTAGAAATAACGAAGTGTTATTATATTGAATCTAATTTATTCATTGTAGAAAAATTTTACTGCATTCAAGTACTTGTGAAATTTCTTACTGTAAATCATAAAATCTATTTTTGCCTGACTGTCATCGCGTAACTCATACAGGGTCAGGTAGAGTTATGTTCATCAAATTTCTCTATTTACAAATGGGGTACCTAAGCATGTTTTTAGCACATTCGTTTCTGACAATTCCCAAATTATTACATTTTAGTGATGGTTTCAAATTACAATGTAAATATAATGCTTAATTGCACACTTATTTATGTCCGTCAGGTTATCTAAACTGAATCTTTGTTTTTGTTTAGCTGCATTTTAAATACC